TGATATGTTATCTGTCGTTCTCAATATTGTGGACGGTTTATTTTATCAGTTACTTCACCTTCCAAAGGCTCCATACGTGTTGACTATCCTGAAGGAGTCAAATGATGTGTTCATGGCTTGTCGTGACGACAGCAGGTTCTGCACAACAGGAATGCTTAGATATGCTATCATGGCAGCAAGCATGAGCTCAAACACACGCCGCACACAAAGACCTGCAGAAGACAATATGGCAGGTTACACCACGAGAGTCCTTTAAAAAAACTTGAGAACTTAAATGTAAACCTAAATCCTAAGTATTCTAGGTAATCATAGTCTAGAATACGAGTGCGATTAAGGATTTGCACTTTGAGTGATGCTTGAAAATGCTCTCAAAATTGCACAGGTGAGTGAAATTTGAACGAATTTTGAAATGTCATGAGTAATGCAAATCCTTAATTGCTCGAGCTTTCATACAATTATTCATTTATTACAGGATTGAAAACTAAAAACTGAAAAAAACAATAAAATTTTTAAAAAAAAACTGTTTTACAAAAACATACTTTTAAAAACCTGTTTCTTATAGAACAACTTAGGCATATAAATTAAGTAACCTGTACAGTTGTGATATTTTTTCCAACCTCGCTCCCAGGGTCTTCCCCGGAGCCCTCCTCTCTCACACTAGGAGGGCAGGCAGATGAGAGACCCTGGGAACGAGGGTGATTTTTTCCTTCAATGAAGCACAATTTTATCACTTTTCCCCCCAAGAACAGCTTGGTTGAAAAAAGCAAATCAGTGAATTAATAATAATACCTACTATGTCACTTGTATGGCTTAGTTCTGAATGCTTTGGATCATGACTAAATGCTACCTTAATTTCAACTCAGTATAGCACAAAGTTGAACTGAACTGAACTTTAATTTTACTGTTTTCTTGCATACAGTTACAGTTGCTTGGCCCAGTAACTAGTTCCAGAACTAATCCAGGCAGGGACAAGAGTTTACAGTAAAAAGGAAGGAAAGAAAAAAGTAATAATAATTTACAACAAAATTACAAAAGGTACAAATAAACAATAGAAAAAACTGCTGGTAACTGAAAACAAAGTAACGTCAGGAGCTCCTGCTAATGTACAGTGTAATGTGTACATAAACTGTTTATCGAGTTAAAATAATCATGTATTGGTGTTTGAATTTTAATTTTCATAAAAAAAAAACACAATCAAATAGGCCATATTTTTATTTTCAGTATTGGACTGGAATTAGCTTGCAATGTAGGCTCATACGGGGGGACATAATTAAAACTAGTA